ATCTGAGAGATAAGAAGAATCCTAGCCCTAACAAACCCTAACCCTTCCAGGCCTCATCAGACATGTGGAAGGGGCCAGGTCCAAGGTAGGTCTGGGACCTCTATTTGGATAGATCAGTGGTTACTCCGGTGAGTCCCTTGGACCGCAAGGCAATCAAACCAGTCAGTGCTAGAGGAGATCAACCCTGACTGCTCTTTAGAATGCCAGATCCTGAAGATGAAACTCAAATACTTTGGGCACCTAATGAGAAGGAAGGACTCCCTGGAGAAGAGCCTGATGCTGGGAATAATTGACAGCAAAAGGAGAAGGGGATGGCAGAGGATGAGGTGGCTAGATGGAGTCACCAAAGCAGTCCACATGAGTCAGGAGGACTCTGGGGGATGGTGGAGGACAGGAAGGCCTGGAGGAATGTTGGCCATGGGGTCGTGATGGGTTGGACACGGCTTCATGACTAACAATGACAAAAAAGCCCATACTCTGCCTACAGAAAGTTTCAAACATTGACATCTCCAAGCAAGAACAGAATTCTGTCTGGCGTGTAGAGCCGCTGCATTGTATTGGGAAGATTGGACCACTGGTCTGACTCCTATTTAAAGCATTTGATAACAATTTGAGCAGAGAATTATGTCTCTCTCTCTCTGTATGTATGTATGTATGTATGTATGTATGTATGTATGTATAATACCAACATCCCTCTTCTAATACTTTCCCAAATAAAAGTCCTACTGAATCCAAACTGTGATTGATTTTCTTCAGACACATGAATGAGGAAATGCAGAGCTATTAAAAAAAAACCTGGCAATATCCCCAGTTGGATTCTATCTCAATTAATCATTCCCTTGGTGCCAAAAATATGAAAAATTAATCTTGACCAATGAGCTCAGGGGTGAAATGATGGAATTATATTTTAGGTTGAAGAAGCCAGACACAGTTTTTAAAACACAGTTCAAAACTTCTGGTGCACAGCAAACTGCCGTTCCATTGAGAACCTGGGTAGTAAAAAACATAGATTAATTCTTATGCAAGCAAATAAATGCACAAGAACGCAACACAATGGTGTCTTGGTGATGGAGATATCCTGGGCTAAAACAATGAAAGAATGTATAAATCCAGATGAGCCCAAGAGTAGATCTGATTCAGCATCCCATTCACACAGCGGTCAACCAGTTACACCCAAGATGCCTCCAGCAGGACATGCATGCAGCTCTGCCATCCTGGTTGTTGCGAGGTGCAGTGCTTCTCCCGAGCTGCTTCAGAGTTCCCTTTCACAAGGCTTTATTGTTGCACGTCCTTATTGTCAAACGTCTCTGAGTTCTCCCAGAGTAAAGCGTTGAACCCTCTCTGAGCCCTCCCCTTAATCTTCATCCCATTTAAGAGACTTTCCCCACTGCCAGCTCAGAGTGGAGGCACCGGCATTCCTTGCCTGTCTTCCCCTCTCCCACAGCTCCTGCAACTGAATCTCCCATCTGTTTGCTTCCTAGCAACCGGCAACTCAGGAGGAGGGGCATCTACATCCGACAGACTACTCAGCTCTTGATGTGCACCCTGGGCAGGCCCCAAACCTGCATCTTCGTTGGCAAATCCAAGCTCTCGTCGTCTTCCACCCCCAGTTCCCCTTGCAGGGCTATCCTTCTATTCCCACAGGATGGTTGGTTGCCACTGGCGCCCAGCTAGGTTGATGGTGCTTGAACACAGACATTCCCTGACCTTGATCTGATACTGTCACTTGCTGACATTCCAAAGCTCCTTCATCTTCACTGTCTGAATGCCAATTCCTATCAAACCTACCAACAGACTGCTGATAGGTTCTGGCTGATTTTCCCTGTGTGTGTTCACAACACTGCCCATGTTCCCCAGCAGCTGATGTGCAGAGGCATACTGCCTTTGATACTGGAAGTAGCACAGAGCTGTCCTGACTAGTATCCATTGCAAGCCTTTTCCTCCATGAATTGCTCCAGTCGACTTTGCAAGCCAACTGAGTCGGTGGCCATCGCCTGTGGCAGTAAGCGCCATACTTTAACTATGTGTTGGATAAAGAAGCATCATCCTGAAACTCCTGAATCTCCCACCCATCAATTTGATCATGTGACCCCACGGGGTTTCAGTATTATGAGAAAGGGGGGGGGGGAAGTCTCCCCATCCATTTTCCCCACCTAATACATCATGGCATACACTTTCCACGGGGGCAGCTTGAAGCTCCTAGCAGTTGTCTGAAATGGCACAGTCCAGGAACAGGTAGCATCCCAGAAGGATGTGTCTGTTGCAGCTCTCCAAATCTCACTCGAAGGAGCGAGTGCCAGGAGAAAGCTGAGCCCAATCTGCTTTCTGTGCATTGCTTTGGAACCTTATTGCTACCTGTGGAACGGCTTTACCTTGTGGCAAGCAGGAAGAGGAGGAGGGGCTGGCTCGGCTGCAGTACTGAATGTGAGGACATTTCAAGGAGACTTGGTGAGCCTCGCAAAACCAGCCGCGGGGGCCTGCATCTCCCATTACAGCCGTTCCTGACACTCCTTATTGGGAGCAAGGAAAGGAGGGAAGGCAGCCTTACATAAACTGAGCTGGTGGCTTGAAAAACCACACTGAAGCTTTACAGAGAGAAGTGAATCTGTCAGGTTTGCCTTCTTCTGCATTTTGGAGGGCCACCACAAACGGGATGACCTCATGGCATATAACAAGAGCAGCAGCAGCAATTCCATACTAATACAGTGGGATGCAACTCCAGATTTTTAAGAGCAAACCATTCAAAGCCCTTGGCTTCAAGTGAGAAATCTCTTAGTATTTGTTTCTCCCACTTTCAAATTTTAAAATCTCAAATCCTTTCTGTCCCAGTTATGGATACTGTGTGAATGCTGGGAAATTCTTATCAGAATGATAAGTCTAGCTGCCATGCCATGCTGGCTCTCCCAAATATACATTTACGGATGTATATGGATTTATTATAGGTTAATAAATGCATAACCCACTGGCTAATTTGGTTCGTGCCCATCTCCTGAGTGAAAAAGGCACTCGAGGCAGGTCACAATCACAAATAACACTCTGATACGCTAATAATAAAAGCAGAAATGTGTTACACAGACTAAAAGTTGCATCGAACCCAATAGCAAAATCTCCTGTATTTTTACTATCTATTATTCCTATTTATTGTTACTGTTCATGGATTGTTTCAATTGTTTTCCTATTTTAATGTTGTAAGCTGTCCTGAGACATTGTTGTAAAGGACGGCATATAAATGTTTTAAATAAATAAATAAAATGAAACTGAATAGAATTTGCGCCTGTGCCTATCAGTCAATGGAAAACCATTTTGAAGTTCATGCTTATGATAAAGTGAGGCTGCAGAAACTTGTGCTACAAGTGATCTGTCTCTCAGGGTGTCCCTGGACCGCTGGAGGGTTTTACAAAATATTGGGTGGAGTAAAAATGAGATAAATAAATACAAAAACGAAACCAGTAGGTGACTTAGACTTTTTCTGACAGCTGATGCCACCATAAAATATTTTAAAATAATGCATAAAAAGTAGAAGGAATAATTTCAGTGAAATGCAGCAGAACCTCTGTGGTTTATGCCCACATTTACCTTGGCAAGGATGAAAATGGCAAGAGAGACAGTGTGGCGTAGTAGCTACAGTGTTGGACCAGGGCTTGAGAGATCAGGGCTGCTGTAGTCCCCACTTGGTCTTGAAGCTCAGATCCCAGTCATGCGGCCTGAGCCTAACCTACCTCACAGAGTTATTGTGAGGATAAAAGGGAGACAAGGACCATGGAGGTTGCCTGGGAGAAGCAAAGAGATGGGCTACTGATAAAGCTGACTGAGAACAGGCCCATGTTGCAATGCTGAACAGAACCTGAAAGCAGGATTCAAAAGCTCACTCTGGCTTTTCCTGGTGTGGCAAGCCAGGAGGACCCGTACACCGCAGTGTGATGGGGAATGCTGTTTAGCTCTAAAGCTTAGGGGAGACCGGTGTAGAGAGATAGACATCAGCAAGGAAAAGTAGCAGAGATAGGAGACTTTGGTGTTGGCAAGGGACCAGAAATGCCGGGTCTGGGCTCAGCAGGTGTCTGTCAATGCTTCCTTCTGATCCTGGCACTGCATTTATTTTATTTTATTTATTTTTTGATTTCTATCCTGCCTTTTTCCTCAAAGGGCTCAAGGCAGCTTACATCATTCCCCTCTTCCTTCTTATCCCCACAACAACAACCCTGTGAGGTAGGTTGGGCTGAGAGTCTGTGACTGGCCCAGAGTCACCCAGTTGGCTCCATGGCTGAGCGGGGACTAGAACCCGGGTCGCCTGAGTCCCAGTCCCATGCTCTTAACCACTGCACCACACTGGCATCCAGGATCCAGGTGTCCTAGCAGCTCCTCTGTAAAATAGGACTGCTATTGTCCCTTTGATTACGTTCCCAAGAAGGGTCCAAACCTAGAGGTAGCTGTATGAATCCCCACCAACAAACCAGTCCTAGCAGCTTTCATGAGATCTGTTGAAAGGAGAATGGGTCTTCACTGCCTATTCAAGACCAAGGCACTCACAAATACATTGCATCACAACAGGGGATGACGTACTGTTGGGAAAATTGACTTCCTCCCAGCCATGGGGACCATTGATGGAGGGGAACAGGGAAGTCAGAAGTGATGGTGGCAGAGGGTATCGGGATTCCTGAAAGTTAAAAACCGCCAGTGCCGTGTCCCCACAAGCCCTGATTCCCTCGCTCACTGGGCAGATATTGGCAGGTTCATGCAGCGCTCCAAGGCTGGAGCAGGAGAAATGAAAGCGAAACCAACACAACACCTTTAGAAGAATAAAACCTTTCCTGAGCATGCTTATTGCCCACCAAATGCCGAGTGTCTGTTGTGGGGAAACCCCAGAAAACTGCAGAGAAATGGGAACAGGAAGGGATATCATGGAAACAGGAATGGCTAGCGAGCAAGAATCCTGAACCGGGACATTCCACACTGCAACATTTTGTTGTGGGTTCCACACTGTCAGATCATCATCTACCTACCGGTGAGGTCATGGTTGGGCCAAGAACCCAGCTCACAGGCTTTGCATGTGTATTCATCGAAGACAAATTCGTTTTCTTTGCATCGTGTGCAGGTCCAACAGCAACTGACTTCTCCTTTGCGGATAACCTAAGAGGAACCCATGAGAGCATTCACATTTAACAAGAAATACTTTGCTTCATAGAATGCCTGTCTGTCTGTCTGTCTTATTTAAATCAATTAAAAACTGTTTGCATTCATGCACTTCTCCATTTCTAGACCACTGCTATCCATGTATTCTGCTAAATGGCCCTTTCCACACAGCCAACTGAAGCTTCCCTTGAACTGAAAGCCCCTCACCCATTTCTCTGGTTTGCTTCTCACATTTTCCAACACTGGAGCCCACTTTTGACTCCTTCTCCCCCTCAGGATATCTGATGATCTTCGCTAGGGTCCAGCTCCTACAAAATGCCATTCTCTGAAACGAGTTCAGCTTCCATCCTTATGGAGTCCCACTCCTCCTGTTAATCGCTCTCTTGGGTGGGCTGGGGGATGACAGCCAGCTGGTGGAGCTCCATGTTGTGCAGCCAACTCCCTGACCCTGCTATTGCAAGGATGCCGCTGATGCAGGGCCTGCCCTTCCATTAGGCAGAGTGAGGGGGTTGTTTCAGGTGGCAGATGCTGGGAGGGGGCAGCGAGGAATTGGAGGAGAGAGTGATGGCCTGCAGGCCATGCTGCGCCTCTGTGCTCACCTGCTGCCTCCAGGTGTGCTGGAGGATACTGACTCATTGTCAATGCTGAAGCAAAATTCAGCACCCCCTGAGCCATCTGGCCCTGTGCCTCTGGCAGCAAAATGCCTTGTGCTTCTGGCATGCATACACTGGGCATGGAGGCAGCATGATTAGCCAGTTGGTATGTGGTGGTATATAGCCCAAAGCTCCACCCATTCTCCCTGTGGCATCATCACGGACCTTTCCATATGTCCTTCATACACAAACCTTGCACAAAGATCCTTCCCCTATTTATCTAATCCCTGTTATTGCCCATCACTGCCTTTGCACTAGTACTAGTTACTGGTCCTGGGAAAATGCCATGTGATCATCTGGTTTTTCCCCAGAAATATTCCTGGAGAAAAGAAAGATGGCTGCCTCCATGACTCATCCATGAAGGCAGCCATCTTTTAATGCACAGGAACACTTATGAGAAAGTCATTAAGTAGCATTTTCCCTAAGGACCAGCCAGTTATTGGTTGCTTAGTAAATTGTGCGTGACATTTATTTACCTTGATGTCTCCTTTGTCGCAAGGTTCACTGCAGACAGATCTGATGATAGAACCTTTCTTTGACCAAATCTCATCATCATCCATTTTCAGCTCACCGTTGTCCCAACTTCCAACATTGATATAGTCAAAGTAGTCCTTCCCCATTTTCTTAAAATTCATGATCTCGTACCTTTCCCACAAAGAGATGAATTGCTAAGTTAGTTCAGCCCACAGCTGAGCTCACTCTTGAAATTATAGATAAAATATGGTGCAAAAATAAATGAATAGGTAAAATGTTGCAATCCTAAAAACAGTTACCTGACAGTAAATTTGTCAGGCTCAAGCATGTCAAACTCAATTGTCTTAGATACTGTCCCTACAATGGTTAGGCATGACAGAGCAGCCTCCCCCAGCCTGGTAGTCCAGATCCCTTGCACTACAACTCCTATCAACCCCATCCTGGGTGCCCAATGGTCAGGGAAGGTAGGACTTGTAGCCAAAACAACTGGCAAGCTCTGGGTTTGAGAAGGCTGTGGTAAAACTTTCATAAGGCTGGCTGTCTCATTAAAACTTCCTGGGGAACAAATAAATGTGTTGCAACGTCCTTCTTGCAGCATTCTGGATTAAATGATAGATATAATTTCCAGCAGAAAAAAGGGGTTATTCTAAATGAATATATAATGATGTGGAAAGGGGCAAGATATATTAAGAACATAAGCCACACTGGGCCAGACCCAAGGTCCATCTAGTCCAGGACTTGGTTCACAAGGTGCCAGACCAGCCATGCCCAGGGTCCCTTGGGCAGCACTTTGCCTGCCCAGCTCCTCAGCACCTGGTGTGCGCAGGCATGCTAGCTCTGGTGAGGGAGGTGGCACACAGCCAGCAGGGTGAGGGGCCGCTTCTTCATGCGCCTGTCCAATCCCATTTAAAGCTGTCCGAGTTGGTGGCCATCACCACTTCCCATGGCAATGAATCCTATTGATTTAATTTAACCGTAACTATCTCTTCTCGTCCTAAACCTCCCACCGAGCCGCCTCATGGGATGACCTTCGGTTCAAGTGTCATGGGTGATGGAGAACAATCTCTCCCTTTCCTCCACACCTTGCATTTATTTGAAACACCTGTATTGTGTCGCTTTGATGCATCTTTTTTCTAATTTCATGAGGTTGCTGGCCTGTGAGGCTTAATGCTGCCTGGCCTTAGTAAGCACAGAGCCCGCCCACCAAGCCCATTGCAGCTTCTCCTAAACCAGGGCTGGGTAACATGTGACCTTTCAGGTGCTTGACTGCAGGTCCAACGATCCCTCACCATTGGCTAATCTAAAGGGGGTTGGCAGGAGGTGGGGGGACCTAGGAGAGCCTATTTCTCCAGTGCAATGCAATCTTGGAGAGCCTGTGGATCTATATGTCCAACTTTTTTGGCCAGGCTGATTCATTGCTTTGGGGACATAGAACATAATCCACTATGAAGGAGGTCACCGTTGTCCATGTGGAGTCCAATTACTCTCTTTAGCTCTGGCCACAAGAACAGGAGTAGCAGTCTGGCTACCTTAACAAAGAGTCAGCATAAATTTCTCACCTTCACAAACTTGGCCTGGCCCTTTTTAAGCCCCAGAGAACACAGGCATTTACAAAAGTTCATTAAAAGTGCAATATGAATGCATGAGCTTTCCAAGTGATTGTCCATTTACACGGCTGTTGTTAGAACCGTGGTTTGGTGGCCATTTGTATCACAAACCAAGATGCAGCATATTTCGCAGTGTAAGTAGGTTTCACCTGAAAGGCTTCATTTTTCCTCCACTTTTGAAAATGAAAGAGGAGAAAGCTAAAATTTCGAGCTGATTGTCCGGAGCCCAGAACGAGGATCGTACAATAGCGGTGAGACCTTCTCCTGGGCATTCATTGGAGAGGGAAAGAAAGACACAGAAGAGCAGGGACTGTATTTGACTGGCTGCCAAGGAAGACGCTTAAGACTTCTGATGTCTTCTTGAAGTGAACTGAAGCATTTACAGACAGAGGTTCTCTGTCAACCAGCTAATTCATATTCACTTTCCAAAACGCAGAAGGATGATTTATGTTTTTGGAGAAACTCTGGAAAAGCCAATCAGCCCAGTCCATGGGGACTTCTTAGGACATTGCCTTTTACGGTGTCAGAACAAGTGTTCCACCTCACTTGGCACTGTTGATGCTGACTGGCAGTGCCTTCCCAGGGTTTCAGGCAGGAATTTTTCCAGACGTACCAACCTGGAGATTCCTGCATGCAAACCAGATGCTCTGCCACTGAGCTGTGGTCCCTGCTTTGCTGCTGCTTGGTACCATTAGTCAGCAGTAGCTCTGAGTCCCTTGGCTGGGAGCATCAGTGAAACCAGGAATGTTCCTCACCTGCCTTTCTCACAGTAATGCTGGGTGCGGGGGAGCTCCTTTTACTGTTGGGCAGGGATGCTTGGCTCCACTAAGCCAGCAGAGGAGATGCTGCTGACCACAAGCCTTGGCTTGTGGCTGGGCAACAGGAAACCATGAAACTACCCAGGCTAGATGATGGCAAGAGTATGGACAATATGAGATCCGGTGTGGTGTGGTGATTAGAGGGTTGGACTGGGGATTTGGGAGCTCCAGCTTCTAGTCCCCACTCAGCCATGGGGCCAACTGGATGACTCCCATAAGGCTGCTGTTGTGAGGATAACACAAGAGGAGGAGAGGGTAATGTAAGCTGCTCTGAGTTCCTTGAACAGTGAAAAGGAGGGATATAAATATAAGTAATAAATAAAATACATATTAGTTGGTGGCATGGAATACAATTAATTCATTTTAATTAACCCTGTGAGGGGGGGCCAGTAGCTGTGGCTAGCACAACATTCCTCAGCTGGGCTACTGAGTGGAAACATCTTATACCAGTTCCAAAGGAGTTGTGGAGGCTGCCAAGAAGCTACTGAGCCTTCCTCCTGGGGTTAAATCTACTACAGATTGGGAGAAGATCTGGAAAAAATATGGCCTGAAACTGGCCATTAACCAAGTGCTCAATGCAGCGAATGGAAAATTTGTTCATCATCTTTAAGCGAACACTTTTTAAAAACATTCCTGGCTTATTTAAAAAGCCAGATGGGTAGATCCTGCCTTATTCAGAGCAGTCCTCTTGAAATCAGTTGTCCTTCAACTGGCTTTGGCTAAGGAGCAGAGAAAGAGGCATGTTGGAGTGGAGCAGGAGCTTGTAGTCCAGCATCCTGTCCTCACAGTGAAACACCAGCTGCTTCTGGGAAGTGCAGAAATCGGAAAGAAGCTCAATAGCGTTGCCATCCCTGCAAATCAATTCCAGTATCAGAGCTAGAGGAGCACGATCTCTGATATTGGAAGTGATATAGAACCAGCATGACTAGCAGTCATTGGAAGGAGTTTCCTCCATACGTTATTTATTTATTCATTAGATTTATATTCCACCCCATTAGCCATGAAAGGCTCTCTGGACAAATTAGACGAACTAGACAAATTAGACATTTGTCTAATTCCCTCCTGAAGGAACAGATCTGTCTTCATTTTCTGCATTTAGTACAGGGTTAAATTTGTGTGTGTGTGTGTGTGTGTGTATGTGTGCATATATGCACTATCTATAGGCAGCTGCAGCCAAAAGATGAATAGTTTGATCTTTGGGCTAAATAGGTCAAAGTTTTGGGCTACATAAGTCAAAAGTTTGGTTAGAACAGAGAAATGAGGAATTTGCTGTAGGGAAGTTATTACTTTCAACAGAAAGTCAGAGGATGAGAGAAAGTTTTAGCTGGCAGGATAAGAATTGCCCCTCCTGGCTGGTTGGAATTAGGGAAAGGGCAAACCAGGTAAACCTGGAGGCAGAAAGAGGAGGAGGAATAATGAAAAGAATGCCAGAGTCTTGGAGGAGGAGAGTGAAAATTGGAGAACTGAATGAAGGAGCTAGAGCAATGCCAGTAAGATGTCGGTTGGATGAGCAACCTGGATGAAATATGGACCATCTATCTGGATATGCTCAGCCCTGGATGGTACTTATCCTGTAGCTCCTATGGTTATGTACACTGTGTACATATATTTACTGAGATTTTATTTTATTTTTCCTATAGACTTTTTTTTCAGAAAGAGCTGAAATTTTGCGGTCTTGATGTTGGATTCCTATGCTGTGCTTAATAGCCAGTCCCCACATTACCAAAAATGGATCCCTGGAGCCTAAGGAGTTTTTAAGCTGATTTGATTGAGGCAGCCAGAGAAATAAAGATTTCTTCTTGGTGGCAATAGAGACAGTAACAGAAAGTGTTGAAGAAAGCATGTGAATGCACTGTTTTGCCTGTTTCCCTTCCATGCATGGAATATGTACTTACTGGTTTGTGATACCCCTTTTAAAACCATCCACATTTATTACTACATCTCGTAGTAGTGGATTCCATAGTTATCTAATGCACTTTGTGGAAAAAGTATATCATTTTATGCTGTGACTTAGCTTACTTGGATGGCTGTAGATTCGAGTATTAATGGGGGTGGGGGGAATGGAGAATGACATCTCGCCACACTATGATCATATCCTTCTCCATGTTTCCCCTTACTTGCCACTCTGGCCCAGATTAAATAGCCCCAAACTTTATTGTCTTTCCTTATAGGGGATTTACTTCAGTTCCTTGACCATTTTGTTTGTCAATTTCTACATCTTTCCAGCTCTGCAATATCCTTTTTTCATTGAATCACAGAATAGTAGAGTTGGAAGGGGCCAGAAAGGCCACTGGGTCCAACCCCCTGCTGTTGCAGGACAAGTTACACCATCCCACTCAGATGGCCATCCAGTTTCTTTTTGAATGGCTCCAGTGTGCAAGAAGTCACCACCTCTCTAGGCAATTGGTTCCACTGTCATGTTCTTCTCACAGTGAGGAAACTTTTCCTGGTATCTAGCCTGAATTGGGTTATCACAACTTGGATTGATCATTCTGTGTCCTACACTCTGGTATCAGCAAGAAGAGACCTTGACCTTCCTTTTTGTGACAGCCTTGGAGGTACTTCTAGAGGGAGACCATATTCCCTGTTCAGCTTTCTCTTCTCAAGGCTGAACGTACACACTTCTCTGAGTCTCTCCTCATAGGGCAGTGCTTCCAAACCCTGCATCATTTTTCTTGCTCCTCTCTGGACTCCTAATTTTTCACCTTGGGTGCTTTTGAGGTGCATTTAATGCTTTATTGGAAATGTTTACAATAATTTACCATGGATATACTCTAAGGATGACTAAATCTGCACCCATACACTCTGATGCTATGATGAAAACTGTAGAATTAACAAAGAAAGGCATTCCATGTTTTCTGAAGTGATGAAATATTTATAGTACCTTCCTGGTGAGTCTCCATTCTCATCAAATGAGATAGTGTCCCCAGAAACCCCAGTGAAGTTGGCCTTCATCAGGGAATCCAGGAGTTTCCGTCCATCGATAGGTTTCATAGCATCACAAAGACCAGCGTAACCCGGACACAGTGCCATCTGCAAGTTATGGAGGCCATAAGCCATGGAGTATATTGCATTAATCACAAATCCCATCTTGGAATCTTGGACATGTTGCGTTTCTAAGGTCAAATTACCTGTTGAGAGAGATGCATATTGTAATTGTCAGCATTTTCAAGTGACACAAATCTGTATCTATTTTTTAATTTATCACACATGCTCCACAGTCTTCTTTTGGGAACTTTGGACTGTATTAATGTTGCAGATTTTTTCTGAGTCCAGATATAAACATTCACTCTTCCATCAGGTCAGCAACAAAGCACTGCTATTTTTCCGGAAGTCATCCCACGGGTTTTGTAGATAAGTGGCTGCAAACCAAGTTGCTGGCATCTCAACAAAGATGTTAGTTAAAAAGAACAGTTGGAAGAAAATGTTCCCTGGCATATTAGCTGTGAAGAACCAAGAAATTTCCCTGCAACCGAAAATATTACCATGACGACGAAATATTGAGAGATTGCCGGAGTAGCAAGCCAATGTCAAAGCACGCATTTTGAAGCCTCGCTGTGCCATGGCTTGAAAGATGTTGAGCACAAACCATGTCTGTTGAAAGCTGTGGGAGCTGTTGAGTACACAAGGACCTTTTAGGGACAAAGGCCATTATAAGTAATTCTAACTGGAACTCACCCACACCTTCCACTGGAAGTTAATGAATAGTGTTCAGCTGGAAAGGAAAGTGTTGTGTTTTGTTTTGCCAAAGAAGCTATTCAGGCACTATAGTCAGCCTGAAATAAAATCACTCAATATAACCCGGCATCGGTTTATTCAGTATTCCCATTTGCTCCAGACCCTATTCACCAGAAATAAACCTGTCCTTGGGAGACCACAATACTGAATCTTGCCTTTTCTGAACCACACCTTCTTATAAATTTTGGTGAGCTGCTACATTGGTCATTTTTGTTTCTGACTGATTATAGCATTTTTAAGCCACTCTGCTCTGCAGGATACTAGAGATGATTATGATGAAATAAAACACATAATACAGAAAGTGACAGTACAAGGAAATAGTTCAAATTATTCTCTCTTCAAGAGCCAACTCCCTTGTTGGCTTCTGTGGAAGTTAAATCTTGGGCAGGATGTGGATTTCTGATTCAGGTCTTCCCATGCTCACCACACTATAGCCCAAACCATTCCTCCCAGTCACAGGAGGGGGGTATCCACCGACTTAAGGCAATCCCAAAGTTTGTGGGGTACAAAACATTGGAAACTTCCAACTGCCTCCCCACCTTACAAAGCTGGGGAAACCTCCCAAGCCCAATGGGAACTCAGCACCTTGTCTGGACAAGAGAGAACAAACTCCTGACAATTGGGAGGGAGTGGCTGAGATAGGATGACAGGAGTAGGGACCCATGGATATAAAGGGTTGAAATAACTCCTCATTATCTTGCTAGGTGATTTTCTGCTTCACATGGAGGAACAACATTGGACAGTCATGGAAAGGAGTGGACTGGCTGCTTCTCCAAGAGAAGAGCCACCCTGGAGATGGGCATGTGGGGACATTGTGGGAGAAGGGGAAGAGTCTGGCACTGCCCAGACATGGCATTTTCCCAGCATGCCTCAGCCTGCTTCCCTCCCATTTTGGAGCATTGTCCTTAGAAGGCTGAAGCAAGCATTCTTTGTGGGTTGGGAGGAGGTAAGCCTCTGCCTCACAGTTCTGCCTGCATAGGATGCCCACAATCCTCCATGGGGTTGTGCCCTAAAAGAAGAGAGGGGGAGAGAAGGCTACCTCCCAACACCTCCTATCTTGGTCCTGGAGGAAGAGCAAAAGGGACCCATGAGCTGCCAGCACTGTGGCAGAGTCCAACCTCCCTCCCTGCAGCCAGCAGCACCAGCCTGGAAAGATGCTGCCTTTTCTTTGCTGCCATGTGGGAGCTGCATGGGCTGGGGCTGGGAGCAACCAGAAGGAAGACTGCTGTAGCAGGGCGCTCCCATCCTGTGGCTCTGTGCTCTCCCAAGTTCTTGGCATATGGCTGAGAGATCAGGACCTGTCAACCATATGCCGAGCTCTCACAATGGAGGGCTGGCACATGCTCTGAGCAGTTGCAGCCACTGCTTTCTCACTGTGGCAAAGGCTGGAGTGGGAAAGTGGCCGGTGGGGTTCTCCTGGTGATGGGGTGTTCAGGCTGCGGGTGAGGGAGTGGTGCAGTTCATCAGTTCTTCAGGTGTGCAAGCATCGCGCCCTGGTGAATGAATGAGCCAGCCCTAGACGTGGGGCTTCCAGGGAAGCAGCAGCAGCAGGCTTTGATTAGCAAAGATGCTGACACCATCTGCCAGCACCTTCAGAATCCCCTGTTCCCTCCGAGATTAGCTGCCATTTTCACAGTAGCAGGCAGGGGAGAACTAATTTTCCCTGCGGCAACATGTAACGCTAAGTACTTTGGGGTGTCTTGATCTTGAACGGACAATTAAAATTCACGCACTTTAGAAAGTCTGCTCCTGGTGAAGATGGAAAACTCCTAGGATCTGAATTCTGCCTGAATTTGGGGGGAAATGGCTGTCTGCATGGTCATGAAGAGCACCTGCAGCTCAAAATTGTATGTTGTAAGCCGCCCCGAGGCTTCGGCGAATGGGGCGGCATAAAAATGTTTTAATAAATAAATAAATAAATAAAAATCAGCACAACCCCATGATGGGTCACGTATTGCAGAAATGCACTTCTGGAATCTGGGCACCACTCAATGTACGGAAAGCTCAGATGTTTTACTCGCCACAAATGATCACACCACTATTATTATTGCATGGCATTTATATTCCACCTTTTCCCTCTTCCTGTGGCTTACACAGCATCCTGTTATCTTCACAGTGACACTGGGGTGAGGTAGGTGCAGCTGAGTGGAAGTGCCTGCTGCAAAGTGAGCTTCATGGCCATGGGGGACTAGAACCCAAACCTTCCAGGTTCCCAGTCCAACCTGCCACACAGGCACTAAGCAAAAGTAACAGATGCCATTTCTTTATTACTTTTGTTAAATGCTGTTATGAAAGGCTCAGTCCTACAGATCAACTTCCGTTGCTGTGCTGGAAACTCCAGCCTCTAAATATAGGAAGGGGCTGATCAGTCTATTTCCAGTCTATGTCTGTTTCCAATATGTTCACCCATAAGCCTGTTCCAACCTGTTTCCACATTAATGTGTGGCTATTTTTATTCTCACAACAATCGTGTTGAAGTAAGCCATTCAATGTGTGCATTTTCAGGTATTTTTTCACAAAATGTACACTTCTATATCTACAAGCCTTCACAAAATCTGAATTGCAATGCTTAGAGATAAAGGAAATTGGATGATGGAACACACCTGGGTCTGTGCATTTTAGCCTGGGAGCTGTAGATCAGGACTGGGATGAGTCCATTTCGGATCCATCCCTCCGGAATCCATGGACTTCCTCTCATGCTTGGCCCAGTCCTGCAAAGCAAGCTGAGCTGAGAGGAAGTCCACAAATGATTCAAGACCCCTGGTTGTGCAACGGGCAACCTCCCCCAGTTGCCATTCCCAGTAGCCACACTGCTCCCCTGTTCACAATGTGCGGCAAGTTGGTATACTGGCTCCCACTCACAGCGACCGACCTTCTTCCCACCCACTGCTGTTGGCGGCAGTGGTGAGCATGGAAGAATGGTGCTACTTGCTCAGTGTGCGGGACTTGATTCCTGGTCAGCGCCCTGGCGCACTTGCCTGGGACTTGGACTCTGGGCCTCTGCAAGTCAGACCAGAGTCCAGGATGCTGAAACCAGGGAATCCGGAGGATGTTCTGCTCAAAATGGATTCCTTGCACATCCCTATTGTCTGGATGGTTCACTTTTGGTGCTCAGTGTTCATAAGCCCTGAAGTCAAAGGCTTGTGAGAGAAAGGTGGACTTGCTATCTGTTGTCTCCTGTCCCCTGTTTGGCATTTTGGCTACACAGCCAGTGTTGGGCATCCACCTGAGGTGCTCTGAGGAGAAGAGGAGGAGGCTGGAATGACACTGGGATACCTCTCATCCTGATGGCCCCCGTGTCCTCCTATCCCTGCTCCCTGGAACACCCCAACACCCCCTCTGAGATGGATGTCCAGATCTCAGAAAGGCATCTGGCATGGTTCTTTCAGTTAAAGATGGAGATGTGTGAGGAATCCATCAAAAGCTGGGAATCTGTTGGATCCCCTGGGCTCAGCTCCACTGCTTCATGGCACCCCAGAGTCCGAGTTCCCAGTGAGCTGGCGACTGTGCCCCATGTGCTGCACAAGCAACACCTGCTTGCGCACCGGAGCAGCTGCTCCAGTGTCAGTCTGGGGTCCTGCTTTTCCGGAGGGTGCCTCACCACTGAGCGCCCGACGGACCCTTTTCGCTGCAAGGAGCAGCCACTATTTGAGCAGCCGCTCTGGCTTGCAGGCAGGTGCTACTTCCCGTTGTGGTGGCTGTTTTCCTGGCGGGCACGCCAGCATTTCATCTGTGCCAGCTACAGCTGGTCTTTGGGCCACTGCTGCTGACATGGAAGAAGGTGGCTGGTTGCACATCAGGGCTAGGCGAGCACCTGCAGACTTCCTCTTGTCACAGCTCGTGCTGGAAGACCTGGCTGAGCACAAGAGGAATCCCATGAATGCTCGGAAGGATGGGTTCCAGCTGGAGTCATCCCATCCCTAGTCAAAGGAAAGAGTCCTACAGTGGACTGTCGGCAATTAAAGAGGTAGCCGCATGCAACCCGTGCACGTCAGACAGAAACAAATCTTGCCGTCCCCAGGATTCTCCGGCCAGCACTTTTGCACTTGGATTGATATGCAAGAAGGTTAATCCATTCTCTTTCCGAGATTAATTACTAGAGTCCCTGGCAAGGCACCTTCAGCAACCCACACTCACAATTATGATATGGGATGCTCGAGAATGTCATTCAGCTCACATTTGGAAGTGAGCCACCGGGAGGGACACCCCCTGAACGACGGTGTGGATTTCACAGCTCTCTGGATGTTGCAGTGCAGTTTTGGGTTCAGCAAAGGACCAACGTGCAGGCGCAAATGCAATTTGCATCTTGCTTTGCATCAGAACATTGATATTTTACAGCAAAGGTCTGTGTGGTGCAGTGCTTAAGAGTGTGAGACTGGGACTCAGGAGCTCTGCTTTCCATTCCTCACTCAGCCATGGAGCTCCCTGAATGACTTTGGGCTAGTCACAGAATCTCAGCCAACCTACCTCACAGGGTTGTTGTTGTGAGGATAAGAATAAGAGGAGGAGGAGAATTATGTAAGCTGCCTTGAGTTCCTCGGAAGGAAAAAAAGGTGGGATATAAATATAATAATAAACAAATAAAGTATAAGGTCGCCAGTTTGAATCTGCACAATGGGGTGAGTTCCCGTTGCTCCGTCCCAGCTCCTGCCAAGTTCGAAAGCATGCAAATGCAAGTAGATAAAAAGGTACCACTTCGGTGGGCAGGTAACAGCGTTCCGTGCACTTCGGTGTTTAGTCATGCCGGCCACAAGCCCACGGAGACTGTCTGGGGACAAACGCTGGCTCCCTCGGCCAGGAAACGGAGATGAGCACCGCCCCCTAGAGTCAGGCATGACTGGACTTAATGTAAAGGGGAAACCTTTACCTTTACCTTTTTAAAGTATAAAACGCATATATTTGATATTCAATGTATATCAAATGCTTACATGTTTTTGTACCATCCCCGCAAAAAAGAAATCTCTGCAGAGGACTTCAAAAATGGCATAGAATGGACTTATTAATGAACCCACGTAAAGCTGGCATGGACCAAAAAAAGAATGATTAATCCATCACACCTTCCCCCAAAGGCAGAAAAAAGGGGCTAAATAGGGAAATTGGTTTGTCAAGTGCAATTACAACAGAATAATGATTTCTTCCATCAAAGAATGCCATTAAGAATATATGATTTGCTGAGCATTGGTATCATTTTTTAAAGCTAAACAGCCACCACCACAAGAAAATCGCAGTATTTTCACAGGTACAAAGCATCCAAGTTCAGGGTGACCCAATTAATAAATATAGAATACTGGATGGTGTTGGATAGATCCCTGCTTCGAATCTATCATCCGAATTTGTGGGAAAGTTGTGGGCATCCAGTTTATTTTAGATTAATGAAACATTCTCCCAATGGAGACCTTCCAAACCTTTCTCTCAGTCCTTTAGGGGGTGAACCTATGCATGTTTAGACTGAAAAAAGTCCTATTATTGATTGATTTATTGATTTATATCCTGCCTTTTTCCTACAAAGGGCTCAAGGCAGCTGACATCATTCTCCTCCTCCATCTTATCCCCACAACAACAACCCTGTGAGGTGGGTTGGGCTGAGAGTCACCCACTTGACTCCATGGCTGAGTGGGGACTAGAACCCAGGTCGCCTGAGTCCCAGTCCCAGGCTCTTCACCACCACACCACACGGGCTCTATGGTTCCCAGCATTGTCCAGCCAGCCATGCATAGCAGTACCGCCTTAGATGATCACACACAACCATTCTTCTCCTCTCCACTTTTGGGCCTCATTGTTTTTCTACAGCATTTTGCAGCTGCGATTTTCTCTCTTTCAATATTTGATTAGCTTAAATTTAAATGCTGTTTTGTCACGGAAGTTCAGTTTGCTTTGAACATAAGTGACACAGAACAGCATACAAGAGCCGCACAGAAATGAAGAAACTCTCTGAGTGCAGTGCATGGCACAGCAGCTACTGGGACTTATCAAGGAAAATGACTTGAGGACCAGTTCATTCTTTTCTAGCGAAAGGATGGAGACAGGGAGAGAAAGTTGCCAAGGTAGCTGAGCTCACCCAAGACCAGTTTGCAGGGTGAGACGCAGCAGCATGCGCAAAGCGTGGGTCCCACTCCAAATCCTAGTCAAGGTGCATCGTTCCAATGCTGGCCGGGTTATGTCGATGCCTCAGGCAGGAATTCCCACAAGCACCTCTCCCCTTCCTTGCTAGTCAAGATGCCATAATAATGGAGTGAATACTTATTTGTTACTATTGCTTAACGCCCCAAATCAGTTGCCTGAGGTGGCCAACTCTCTCTAATGATGAGACTTCATATATCAATAATCAATCATCACTCATCGATCATCTATCATCGTCTATAAATCATCAATCTTCTATCCTGGATCATCTATGATCTATCATCAGAGAAAGAGAGAGAGAGAGAGAGAGAGAGAGAGAGCGAGAGCGAGAGCGCGCGCGAGTGCAAGCATAGTCTACATCAGGGCCACCAAATGGAGAAAAAATTGCACTACTATTGTGGTGTAATTGCTAACAGTTCTTAGCTCAGCAATCCTGACAATGTCTAGAAGGCTGTATGATTTTTCAGCATCCCAACTGCAAGTGCAGAGAAGGGCTCTGACGTCAGGGCTGGGACTTTCTGCTCAGATTCTCCTCCCCACCTTGCAACCAACATGGAAAGAGCCATGCAGGCAGGTCCCCCAGATCATGAGAATGACATCAGAGAAAGGACAAAAGGGGATTTCCATGGGGTGGGGAGGAAAAGAGGTTGGATCTGTGGAATGAGAATAGTTCAGGCAGGATCTTCTCCTTTCTGTTCCTCTTTCCATCAGTAGGATGCCTGAAATCCTCTGAGCTGAGAGGCTGGAATGGATTGTAGCCTAACAGAATTTTGTATAGTCTGACTTTTTATTATTATTATTAATTTATTCATGATTAATCCTCATATTTCTCACTCTTGTTTGGAGTACCTGCAAGGGCAGAAAGGTGTGTAATAAAAATAGAAACAACAACATTGTTTCTATTTTTTATTGATTGTTAAACTGGTTTTTTATGCATTTCATTCTTGTTCATTTGCAATTTGGGTGGCCTGAGACTATTAACAAAATAATAATAATAATAATAATAATAATAATAATAATAATAGTAGTAGTAGTAGTAGTAGTAGTAGTAGTAGAAATGATGATGATATCTTTTCCAGTGGCAAAGATGACTTCTTTTTAAATTGGGAGGCATTTGCATCACAGAAATAAAATATAAACTCTGCTTAACTCCCAAATAGCCATTTCATCCTGCCCCATGCCATCAGCACAGCAAATATTTCCAATCATGATGCCTTCACTCCAACTTCCGTTCTTTTGATCCTCACAGATTCAGAAGCAATTAAACACTCAGATGTCATTGATTTTAAACACAAAAATACATGCGAGAAGAAACATGCTTACTGCTGCAGGTCTTATTGAATTTCGTATTCTCCTGAGGAGACCCCTTCAGCCGGCACTGGAACCGGTGTTGCCAAAACTCCTGAAACCACGGGTTGCGGTGATTGGTTTCTGGCTGAAGCTGCAGGTAGTAATCATCAAACCATTTCACATCGGGAGACTGGAGCTTGATTGTTATTCCGCCAGCAGCTTCACGCTGGTAGCCGTCTGTCACATCATACCTGTCTGCCCACCCATCACTGTAGAGGTAAAAGAAAAGGAGAAAACTCTCAGTGAAGAGATGACTGCGAGGAAACATTAACAGGTTCAGGTGTCCTTGGAAATAGTTAACGAGAGCTCTTGATGCACAAGAGCATATGGCAGGGGCCACTTCCCATACACGACAAGAAATTAGTTCTGTTCATATCATCCCAGAGAGCTTTTTGGCCAATAGACTGGGATATAACTCCAATAAATAAAAAAATCATCACAGTTTCAAATTGCAGTGTAAACCGAAACTCAGTTATCTTTAGAAATTCACACTTCTCCACATTTTCCAGTGGGATTCTCCCATTTTTTAAATGCATACAAAAATATGCATATTCAAGGAAATTATGCCAAAAATGCATTGCGTTAGGAAAACTGCCTGCAGAAACAATGTTTGCTGAAGAACCACACTTAGGCCTGGAAAGATGGGAAACCATAATGGACAGGTTCATCCATCCCAGATATAAAATCTTTACTCCCATACTGGGAAACAGCACTGGTTTTGAGCTAGGGGACAAGTGGCTTGTCAGATCAGAAGGAAACTGGTGTAACTCTGAAAGTGCTGGTGAAGGGACCACCCTGCTAAAAGATGTTTGTTCCACTGGTGGAGCTGCAGTTGTACTGCAATTTGTGCCCTTCAGTTGGCTGAAGGACTGAAGCCTTAGCTGAAGATTGATAGATTTTCATGCCTCTACAGGATATTCTGGGACTTGGCTTCCATTTAAAACAGAAAAGAAAAGAAGCTTTGAAATGAATGAGAAGACACTGAGTGCTGCATTGGACTACTGGAGTAATTAGCGTTTGTGTATTTTATTTTTTATATCTTATAGGTAGGATAAAACCTCTAACTCGCTTCTTATAGATCAGAGTGTGAGTCTTCTGCAAATACACTCTCTTTTCTCTTATTTTTCTTTATGACAAATTGAGAACTTCTGCTTTGCAAAGTGAAATACAGAAAATGCGCCCGGTAAAATGACCACCGTAGAATGTAACTATGACTTAGGCTGGTGAAATGCATACTCAGAACACCCCCGGAATATAAATGGTTAAGTCAGGACTACCTTATACTGTGTGCATGAAAGAAACTGATGATTAGGATGACCATGAGGATGAGGATGACCGTGAGGATGGAGTTGATGAGTGACGACCGTGGCGCGGGTGATTGTTATAGGCTGGACCCTCTCATGTGGATCAGCTCCTCTGGACATCACTAAAGTGCAAAAGACAGTATTTCATCACATCAGCAGTTGGAATCATGGCCCAGCAAGTCTCAGAAAATGAGGACTGGAACAATATGGCAGCGGCTCATTTCCGTGGTGGCCTTTGCATGACAGGAGAAGGGGGCCCATGTGTCCTGTGGGCTGCAGGTGGCCTCCCAAACTATACTTGAGGGGTGTTGAGGCCCCATTAAAACATAACGAGGGGAAAACCCTCTAGGAATGGGCTCTAGGGGTCCCGGAGCAGCGCCCGTGGTGGTCGCTTTTGCTGTTGGCAAGGGCCATCATGTCCTCTCTGACTCATGGCAACCCTATGACTGAAAGCCCTCCACCACGTCCCATGGAAGTCCTGCTCTGCTCCTGTACATTCAAGGCTATGGCTTCCTTTACAGAGTCTATCCAGGCTCATGTTTGGTCTTCCCGTGCTGCTTCTGACTTCCACTTTCCCTAGCATGATTGTCTTCTGCAGGGAGTCTCGGCTTCTTAGGATGTGCCCAAGGAATGATAGCCTCCGTTTTTTCTTAGCCACCATGAATTAAAACTCAGTGGTAAAACCCTGAAAGCAACCAGCCTCCAGCAGCAATGGTGAGCAGTGGTCACAGAGGGCAAGCAGATCTCAAGACCGCCTGGCCCTGGCCTTGCCCCAGGCTCTCCTCTGCAAATATCAGCCCTATGATGTCTCAAGGCATGAATACTGCTGCAACTATTTTGACCCTTTGTTTCTCCAAGAAGAAAGACGTTCATTTTGCAAGATTATCCATGAAAGAAGCTGGTCGCAGAGTCCCAAAATACGTTTTTTTAAAGGCAGAGCAGCTGTGCATGAAAGAAAGGGGCAAGGAGATGGTGCTGGTGGTGGGAAACTCCAGCCTTTCTGTCATGGAGCAGCAGTCATATCTCAGACCCAGTGTGATGCAGTGGTCAGAGTGATGGCGGAGGACTTGGGAGATCTTGGCTCTGGACTCCCCAAGGCCAGGACTTTGGGCCCACTGCTGAGTTCCAGCCAAATCCACCTCACAGAGTTGTTGTTGGGACAAACTGGAGGAGACGAGGAGGATGTAGGTAATCTCAGATTCTTTGCAAGAGGGGAAGAAGCATGGGGTATAAATGCCATATATCAAAATGAGGAGTGCCTTACAGTGGATCAGATCCTTGGTCTATCCAGTCCAGTATTTTCAACATGGAGTGGCAGCAGGGTTGGGGTTGTGATAAAGCTCCATGAATCCCATCCCACCAGCATTTGTGGACTTCCTCTGATGATATGCCTGATCTGAGAAAGTTAGTCAAGCTGAAGTCTGTGAATGCTTGTGGAACTAAGGATGCAAAGTTCTTCCAATCACATGCAGCAGTTCAAAGGATGCTGGGTTTATGGGAGGAATTTTCCCCTTTTTCTTTTCCCAGACTGTGCCTGGAGATGCTGGGGACTTGAATTTGGGACATTCTGCATACAAATCAGGTGCTCTACTAGCAAACTACAGTTCTTTATCAGTTGCCCCTAAATTATTTTAAAAGGTGTAGCATTCCTCCTCCTCTGTTCTCCTTTGCAAAAAGAAGAGGAAGAAAGCTTTCCCGCTGCAAAGCAGTCTAAAAGCAACACTGCTGCACTCAGTTAGCTTCCCCTGATCTCTTGTTCTCTAGATATTTTGTAGTTGCATTCCTATCAGCCCCAGCCACCATGATTAATCAAGTCTTCTCAGTATTGGAATCCAAAACACCTGGAAGGTACTAGATCAGGGACAGCATACCTTGCAAACCTATATCTGCTTATATGCTCCATTGAACTCAGTGGGACTCACCTTTAATTAGACATGCATGGAATTGCACTGTTAACTTTCCAAGCACTTAATTAAACCAGGGGCTGAGCACGTTATCAGAAGCATTCTACAGCTTCCACTCTGCTTCCAATAACTTTCTGCCTTACTCATTCCACTGGGATTAACTCTTCAGAATTATTCTAATTCTCATTGATGAACTCTGCTCCCCTTTCCTTGTAGGTTACAGAAAAGTGTAGTTCCTTCTAGTGGAATGGAAATTATGAAACATTAATGCATGACCTGAACCCAAATGATCAGTAGCCTTAGTCAAGTGTTAAAAGTAAGGGCAAAAAGCCCTGGTGTAGTGACAATTTCTGAAGTGCTGGCTTTGCAGCAGCAGCAACAAAAATGCATTTCTAAACTGCCCAATAGCAGTTTGCAAACAACATATAAAATACAGCCAACAATTTTTTAAAAATCATAAAATTACCATACAAAATTTAAAAGCAAGATTTGAAACCGTTGTCAAAGCTGCAATAGCTCATACAAATTAAAGCATAAGAACTGTTGAAGCAGATAACATTTACTCCAATATAGTAAATTAATTAAATGCCCTGTGATAGAGGACAGTCTTAAACTGAGAAGATATTAAAGTTTGTGCCAGGCGAGCCTCAGCAGGGAGCTTGTTCCGGAACTGGGAATGGGGGCCACCACTGAAAAGCCCCCCTCATAGTTGCCACCAGCTGGGCCTCCAGTTGAGGTGGCAATCGGTGCCCTGGAAGATTGTGGCTGGGAGAGGCATTCCCTCAGAAGTTGTGGTCCCAAGCCATTGTAGGCCTTTCTCATTTAAAGCCAGCACCTTGAATTGGGCTACAAGCAGATGGGCCATCAATCCAAGCAGGGCAGGCTTGGTGTTATAGGATCAGACCCATCCCGACACTCCTCTTGGACATGCCGCCTGGATGGGAACTAGAGAGTTTCCATAATGGGACTGGTTTCCATTCATAGCCAACATAAAAAGATAAACCAATTGCTTTGTGCAAAAGTTTAAGAAATGAAAATCCATAGTGTGTGTGTGTGTGTGTGAGTGTGTGTGAAAAGAAGGAGAACAGCTATGTTTATCTGCTATTCCAAAAGAGAAATGTGGTGCCTTACTTTGAAAATGTACTCCTGGGACTCAGGAAGAGGGTTAGAACCAGGGCAGTGGCTTTGCTCTTAAATTTGCAAACATAAATGGGCTTTGGCAGTTTATTCTTTCTACCTTTCCTTAGAAATCTACTTATCAGCCCCAGGGCTGGAATCATTTCCAGTTGTTTGAATGAGTGATGAAAGCTGAATATAGAAACTACCTAAAAACACTGTGTGTGTTCAAAATATTTAGCCTGATATTCTGCCAAATTGAACAGAGATGCACTGTAGGACTCAGTGCAAGGCAACAAATGTTCGCCTTAGGAAACAAAATGGAATTAGTATCCCTGTGATGTGGGATGAAAAATAAAATATATGGTGCATAACATGTTATTGGGAAACAAAACATTTTTAAATGTTTTCTGAAAGATTTCATTTGCTGTGGGTATGTTTTTAAGTTTCTTAGCAACACAGAGCCCGTGGAAAGAATAATTTCTTCTGGGATATGAGAAGGATGACTTCAGATTCAATGCTAAGATTCAATCAACTGATTTTCAAATGATGGTGTCAGGAGTAGAGAAAAATACTGCAGAGGAGAGAAGGTCTGACTGTTCCTGGGAAAGGAAAGGGAGCTAGAGGTCAGTGGTAGAGCAAATGCTTTGCAAACAGAAGTCCAAGCTCTGGTCCATGGCATGTCTAGCTTTAAAAAAAAATGACTAGCAGTCCATACAAAGACCTCAGTCTGAGATCTGGAGTCTGAGTTCAAATCAGTGGTACTGCACCTGTTTCATCTCAAGCACCAAATTCCACTTCGGGCAAGCCCTCACGGACTGCATTCCGATAGGAGGCAGGATTGAAGGTGAACAGGGTCAAGATATTTGCATATTTTGGCTTCAA